CGTGAATATTTTTGGATGTCTGGAATGGATTAATTGTATATACATTAATTCTTACGGGAATAATTGTTTCGGTCATCAGCCCATTCGGTTTTAGGCCGGCCTTCTGGAACGGATTACGGCCGATAACCGAGGGTCCACTGTGAGTGTGTACTCGCCTAATTCACCTAATTGTGGTTGCAGGGGTTGAGACTCAGCTCCTGGACCCGCTTCTTCACTGATCGCTAGTAGGTCCTCTCTCTGCTTCCTGAGCTTTGTCATACCTCGTCTTAAAGCTATGTATGGTTCCTGCCTCCACTACATCACTTAAGAACATAAGAACGAAGGAACACTGCAGCAGGCCTACCGGCCCATGCGAGCCAGGTCCAAGTCTCCTACCGGCTTAAGCCAATGCACCCAACCTAGTCAGGTCAGGTCACCTTGACTTAAGGGAGGAACACGGCAACCGACCTGGTAGCACAAGCTAATCAGGTCCAACTCACACCCACCCACACCCACTCATGTATTTATCCAACCTATTTTTAAAGCTACACAACATTCTGGCCTCTATAACTGTATTTGGGAGTTTGTTCCACTCATCCACAACTCTATTACCAAACCAGTACTTTCCTATATCCTTCCTGAATCTGAATTTTTCTAACTTAAAACCATTGCTGCGAGTCCTGTCTAGGCTAGATATTTTCAGCACACTATTTACATCCCCTTTATTTATTCCTGTCTTCCATTTATACACCTCAATCATATCCCCCCTAATTCTACGTCTTTCTAGAGAGTGCAGATTCAGGGCCCTTAGTCTATCCTCATAGGAAAGGTTTCTGATACATGGGATCAACTTTGTCATCCTCCTTTGTACATTTTCCAGAGCATTTATATCCATTCTGTAATACGGTGACCAAAACTGTGCAGCATAATCTAAATGAGGCCTAACCAAGGATGTACTGAGTTGAAGAACAACCTGAGGACTCCTATTATTTATGCTTCTTGATATGAAGCCAAGGATTCTATTAGCTTTATTGCGAACACTTATGCACTGTTGTCTTGGTTTCAGATTACTTGTAACCAGAACTCCTAAATCTTTTTCGCAATCCGTAATATTAAGATCTACATTATTTAGTTTATATGTGGCATGGTTATTGTCCTGTCCAACATTTAGAACTTTGCATTTGTCTATATTAAACTGCATCTGCCACCTCTCCAACCACTGCATCAGTCTACTCGAATCTTCCTGGAGTGCTCTAATGTCCTCGTCAGAATGAATTCGACGGCCTATTTTGGTGTCATCGGCAAACTTGCTAATGTCGCTCTTTATGCCCTCATCTATGTCGTTTATGTAGATTATGGACAGCAGGGAGCCCAACACTGACCCCCGTGGAACACCGCTCGTGACGCTTCCCCACTCTGATTTCTCCCCATTTATGCAAACACTCTGCTGCCTATTTGTCAACCATGCCTCTATCCAGGAAAAAATTTCTCCTATTCCACGTGCCTTAATTTTCCTTAATAGTCTCTGATGTGGGACCCTGTCAAAAGCCTTACTGAAGTCCATATACACAATATCATATTCATTACCATGATCTACCTCCTCAAATACCTTAGTGAAAAAAGTTAATAAATTCGTAAATTCATTGCTAGGCTATTCCACTTCCTGACGACTCTATGACTGAAGAAGTACTTCTTAACATCCCTGTTACTCGTCTGAGTCTTCAGCTTCCAATTGTGACCCCTTGTTTTTGCGTCCCCTCTCTGGAACATCCTCTCTCTGTCCACCTTGTCTATTCCACTCATTATTTTGTATGTTATCATGTCTCCCCTGACCCTCCTGTCCTGCAGTGTCATCAGTCCGATTTCCCTCAACCTTTCTTCGTAGGACATTCCCCTGAGCTCCAGAACTAGCCCTGTTGCAAACTTTTGTACTTTCTCTAATTTCTTGGTGTGCTTGACCAGGTGTGGGTTCCAAACTGGTGCTGCATACTCCAGTATGGGCCTGACATACACAGTGTACAATGTCTTGAACGATTCCTTACTAAGGTATCGGAATGTTATTCTCAGGTTTGCCAGGCACCCATATGCTGCAGCAGTTATCTGGTTGATGTGTGCCTCTGGAGACATGCTCGGTGTTATGGTCACCCCAAGATCTTTCTCCTTGAGTGAGGTTTGCAGCCTTTGTCCACCTAGCCTATACTCTGTCTGCAGTCTTCTTTGCCCTTCCCCAATCTTCATGACCTTGCATTTGGCAGAGTTGAATTCAAGAAGCCAGTTGCTGGACCACATGTCCAGCCTGTCCAGGTCTCTTTGTAGTCCTGCCTGATCCTCATCCAATTTAATCTTTCTCATTAGCTTCACATCATCTGCGAACAGGGACATTCAGAGTCTATCCCTTCCATCATGTCATTCACATGTATCAAAAATAGCACTGGTCCAGGACTGACCCCTGTGGGACCCCGCTCGTCACAGGTGCCCACCTCATCACGTACCATGACTCGTTGTTGCCTCCCTGTCAGGTATTCTCTGAGCCATTGCAGTGCCCTTCCCGTTATACGCGCCTGTTCCTCCAGCTTCTGCACTAATCTCTTGTGAGGAACTGTGTCGAAGGCCTTCCTACAGTCCAGGAAAATGCAATCAACCCACCCCTCTCTCATGTCTTACTTCTGTTACCTTGTCATAAAACTCCAGAAGGTTTGTGACACAGGATCTGCCTTCCATGAATCCGTGCTGGTCGTTGTTTATAATCGTGTTCCGTTCCAGGTGCTCCACCACTCTCCTCCTGATAATCTTCTCCATGACTTTGCATACTATACATGTCAGAGACACTGGTCTGTAGTTTAGTGCCTCGTTTCTGTCTCCTTTCTTAAAAATGGGGATTACATTTGCCGTCTTCCATACCTCAGGTAGTTGCCCAGTTTCAAGGGATGTATTGAATTCAAGACTGTGGCTAGTGGCACACACAGCGTCTCTGCTCATTCTGTAAGGACCCACAGGGAGATGTTGTCCGTGTGTGTGTAATTAATATATATATATATATATATATATATATATATAATATATATATATATATATATATATATATATATATATATATATATAAATTTATATATACATATATACATACATACATACATCTACCATCCGACTTACAACCTGCTTGACTTACGACAACTCGACTTACGACCGTGTTTTTTATGCCAAATTTCTGGGAAATAAACAACTATTTGTGTTGTACACAGTGTTTATCCTAAACCTTACAGTATAAAATACAGTACTAACAACATAGAAAGTAAAGTAAAACATGAAATACCAAAATAAAACAATAAAATAGTCATTACAAAAATGTTTTGTTGATATTCAGTAGTAAAGTTCGACTTACGATCATTTCGACTTACAGCCGGTTTCTCGGAACCGAACTCGGTCGTAAGTCGGATGGTAGGTGTGTATATATATATATATATATATATTTATTCTTTCAACGTACCAGCCATATCCCACCGAGGCGGGGTGGCCCAAAAGAAAAAACTAAAGTTTCTCCTTTTAAATTTAGTAATATATACAGGAGAAGGGGTTACTAGCCCCTTGCTCCTGGCATTTTAGCCGCCTCTTACAACACGCATGGCTTACGGAGGAAGAATTCTGTTCCACTTCTCCATGGAGGTAAGAGGAAATAAACAAGAACAAGAACTAGTAAGAAAATAGAAGAAAACCCAGCGGGTGTATATATATATACACGCTTGTACATGTATGTGCAGTGTGACCTAAGTGTAAGTAGAAGTAGCAAGACGTACCTGAAACCTTGCATGTTTATGAGACAGAAAAATGGACACCAGCAATCCTACCATCATGTAAAACAATTACTGGCTTTTGTTTTACACTCACTTGGCAAGATGGTAGTACCTCCCTGGGCAATTGCTGTCTACCAACCTACTACCTAGGATATATATTATATATATACGTGTGTATATATATATATATAATATATATATATATATATATATATATATATATATATATTATATATATATATATATATATATATATATATATATGGCAAAGCATTTTAGTGTTTTCTACAAATTGTCTAGAAGCATTTGAATCACACTACACAATCGATCAAGAAATATTACCATTATGAACAAGAGGATGCTTCACTTTTATATTCTACTGAGTTCTGATGACCACTTTGATGCAGCTCTGGTAAATCACCTTTTGATGCTTTCATCTAGAAAAGGTTCAATCCAACTAAGCATCTTTGCACTGAATTAAGTTGCATACAGTACAGAACACAGGATTTGGCTGGTACAGTATTTTTAAGAAATCTTTTTAAAATAGTGAAAGTATTCATCTCTACAATGCCCCCATCCTCTTGTACCAATAATATACATCTTTAAAAAAGTATTGTAATCATCCAAACTGCACATAAGTGAATGGGCTACTCTGCACATTCCTCTGTATGTATTTTCAAATTATAAAATAAATAAATAAATATCTAATCCGACGTGAATGGTAATGTATAAATAACTGATACTTAAGTACATGGCCTGTAGCTGGCTGGACACTGCATATTCACTTTTGTGGGAGGTTATCATGCATTTTTTCCTTGTTTAGAGAACTGCCTTTGTGCAGTGGTTTGGCAAACATATATTTCCAAACAAATCTCAAGAGGTTTTTCCTGATAGAGCAATTTATGGATGAAAGCCAAATTAAATGATCCTTTGATTTTTACCCCAAAAAATGAATTATGGGGCATTTTGGCTAAACTTGAATTTCAACTGATATGCCCAAAATGAACAAGCTTCCAGCCATCACCAAACAAAAGTGACGAATTTTAAACTTACTGCTTAAAGGAAACACTTCAACACTCGAGTAGACCACAAAATGAATTCACAAGTTTTGCACATATTCTCCATGTAAACAGTTATAAAGAAAATATTTATAATTCAACCAAGGTTCAAACATTAAGAGATACATATTAACCAAACAAGAGAAAATGGATATTAAAACTAATCACATACCTAGTGGAAGTTAGTCTGACAGGTGGAGCTGGTGGCTTGTCTTCATCATCAGACATGTTGTGGGGAGGGAGACGATGCCCGAATGTACTCAATTTGGCGGTTAAGCAGTCATTCAAAACAAATACTTTCTCCTACCCCCTTGCCACTTTACCCCTACACCTTTTTTTTTTTTTTTCCAACTTCTGACTCCTCTCTCAGCTTGTGTTTACTTCCCCCACTCAAAGTTTGCTATCACACGTCATCGTCTTGTCGTTAACGCCACCAGCATTACTAAATGCCGGTGTCCCATGCCCATCCGCTTAGCAGCTTACACCATTTGACTGATGTGTGAACACAGCCTTTCCTTTACTTCAAAACAGATGATTCCTGCACAGCTGGCAGACAGTTTTTAGCATGTGGCATGTGACAAACGAGTGTGGTGCCCCAGTACTCCTTCAGGGAATGTCTGAAACAAGAGTGTTCACTATTATAAATAATGAATAAGCTTAATAACCAAATCTGTGTAATTATTATACTTTCTGGGGAATGGGGGTGAGCTACAGCTCTCGGTCCTGCCTCTTAAAATTTGACCAACAAATGTTAAGAGGCAAACTTAAGATTCACACTTCCTTATACACTATTTCCAGTCAAACAACGTGAAAAGTTGTGAAACCCTGTTAGTTTTGCTAGGTCGAAGACCTATCAACTTCAAGAGGGTCATTAGGCTACAGTTCAACTCCACATTAACATTAAAAATAATTTAATTCCTAAAATATATCAAATACACTCTTGGTGTATATACACTGAAATACGTAGTTTCCACGTATATACCCTGTGAAAAAAAAAACCGTGATCTCGTGTGTTAAATATAACTTTATAGTATGTGTGGAGTCAGATGGGCTGGGCTGATCCCGTGTTTGACGCCGCCTCATGACAGAGCCATTTGTGGCACCTTCCCTTATCCAGCCTCTCTCCATCACTCTCCCTCCATACCACCTCATTAACGCGCCTAGCATACTCTAAACCAAGAAAATCCTATTTCACACTCTAATTTTGCTTCTAGTCTCGCCCTCCCCGTGATTCATCTCCGCAAATATACTGAAAAGGAAAAAGCTACTTATTTCACTACTTCACGAAACTAATTGTCGTGTATATTATTCACCCGTTTAGGACGACTAAGCTGTGGCCACTGGTTACCTGCGGGGTCAAATTTATCGTCAAAGAGTCTCCATTTAAGGTAATATTGGAGGATATGTTAGCCTCCCAAAACACTAGCGACCACACAACCCTCGGTGATGACGTCACTGACAGCTGCTGAGGCCATCTGTTGGCCACTCCTGCCACCATACACCCGCCAACATTAAAATAACTAAGTTATCGTTATATGCAGGAGGAGCCACATGTCTATGATATATCCAACAAAATCAGCACGTCTCCTTGATGTCACTACTGCCCGGCCCCGGCTGAGTTACAGGTACCACTGGGAGGGACCCCAATGGAAATAAGTCACTTTGACTTTTTGGGGTTATCCTAGGTAATTTACACTGTATAATAATTGTACTTATATACACCTGTGCCTAAATAAACTTTTTATACCCAGTAACTGTTAGCACACCCTGTGCCATTGTGTTGAAATGTGAAAAAAAAATTCATATTCTAAGAAAACTCAAATTATTTATTTATTTTATTTGTCTTTGCAACTAGTACATTGAGATTATGTATTTACAATAGTGGGTTGCAATGCAAAGAGAGCCTTTATTATGCTTAGGCATTATGGGCAGACTTAACATTATTGGCTTACTGACTAACACTAAGAATTATATCATAGTTGTACAGTGGATTATTAATAGTGAATCTAATTTATGAAATGAGTAAGTATTTTATAAACACTGACAATACCAGCCATTCTGGATAAATATATTTGTGGAAAATTGCATTTACTTGGCTGTATAATTATAAACATAACAGTAAATGAACAATGATAACTATTACCCAACAAAAGGCTGCAGTTAGAATGATAACAAATTCTCACTACAGGCAGCACACTCCACCAATATTCAATACACTAAACCTACTCACCATACAAAACATCCATACTTATTACTGCACCTATTACATACATAGAACACTTAACTCTGATATTAACCCTCCCCTCAAACATCTCCTTGCCAACCTCAACAGAACACATGACCATAACACAAGGCACAGATCACTCTTTGATGTTCCTCGTGTCCATCTCACACTATGCAAAAACTCAATGCACATAAAAGGCCCTAAAATCTGGAATTCATTACCTGTAAATATAAAAGAAAACACTACCTGTTTATAAATTCAAGTCTCTTCTCAAAGATTACTTACTCACCAAAACCAAATAAATACTGAATAACTGAACATTATAAATTGTATATCTTAAATGTTTCTCACAATTATATCACATAAATGTTAACCTAAAACCCAATCTAACTTTATTATTTTTTAATACACTACCTAACAGAATCACTACCTAAATGATGCAACCATATGACCTGTCTTTGTAATACTCACTTGTGCTATATAGTTATTGTTTACATTAATGTTTTATCACTGATTTCATCATTGCTTAGTAGCAGGGGGCTGTATAGTCCTTGTGGCTTAGCGCTTTCTTTTTGATTATAATAATAATAATTATCATTGTTAGTTAATCTTAAGTTAATTTTTAAGCCAGCCCGTAATGCTATGCATAGTATAAGTGGCTTTGGCATGTGCTCTTATCTGTTTTTTTTTTTTGTACCTCTGTATGTGTGCACAAATTGGAAAAAATAAATAAAAAAATAAATAAAAAAATAAAAATTTTTTATCAGTTTGACAAGTAGGGAAATTTGGGACACCTAGGTCGCAAAAAATGTCCCCTTCGATACCCCCAATGTCATATCCACAAGTTGCTCTGGACCTATTTTTTAATGAAAT